AAGCCCAGAGCACCCCATAAAGGCCCATGGATACAGGGGTTAGGGTTGGGGAAGGGAGAGGGAGTTGTCCTCCTCCTCCCGCACCCGTTTAGGCTCCCTACTCTCCTTCCAGCATGGTAAGCCCTGCCTTGGGGTCCCGGGCCCAGGGGCTTCCTTGGGATCCTGGGCCCAGGGGGCTCCTCCCTGTCGGGATGCTGGGCCCAGGGGGTTCCTTCCAGGCCAGCAGGTCCAGATAAGAGGTCCTGGGGTGTCATTTTCTGAGGAGCAGTAATGAGACCCCCTTCAACCCACCGGGTGATGTTCACCTCCGCAGTGCTCTGCCACATGGTTTCCTAGTTACAAGTCAGGGTCCACACCCGGAAACCGGCTTCTCTGAAGCTCCCTGAGCCGCTGGCTCACACCTGGGTCTAGAGGTTCCAGTCAGTGACGCATCACGTTCTCAGCTGCTGAAGCAGAGCTCTCCAGGTTTTCCAACTTCGTTGCTTCCGTTTATGGTAGAAAGTGTGCACGAGAGAGAGCCCCACATTGGGCTCTGTCATGCCACGGACCCGCCCGGGCCTCAGTGTCCTTGGGGCTGTGGGTGCCTGTGCACACACCCTGCGTGTTTCAGGTCCACCTGGGGTCCGAACCCGCCACGGTGAGGCCCTGCACTGCGGTTCTGCTGGCCGCTGGTCACACTGGCAGGCCCAAGAGCAGAGTCTGAGCCTTTGAACTTGGAAACACCAGCCCCGGAAGAGCCCGGCCATGGGCGCAGGCTGTGGGGCTCCGAGTGAGATGCAGAGCCATGTGGAGCCCGGGTCGGACCCCAGAGCAGCTGAGACACCTGTCAGAAGTGCTCCATGATTCTCGCTAACTAGGAGGCTGGGGAGGGCTCTCACGACACAGCACGATGCCATCGAAATATGTGCTTCCCCCTCTCACATCAGAGAAAACATAGCCTTACATCTGTCTATGTTCAAAGTTAGGCACATTATTTCAGTGACTGGTTCTAAAAATGCATTGATTAAATGACGACTAGTGGTGACTCGGCCTACCTTGGTCTGACCCCTGGTGTTGACCACTTCCCAGGGATGCCCTGGAGCACCTCAGGCCACTCAGGAGCTGGCTAGGGTGCAGGCGCCAGGCCCCCGGACATGCATTCCCCCAACCTGAGCACAGGAGGGCCTGAGGAGCGCAGCTCCAGGAACCGTGTGGGCATGTCCTGCCGGCCTGTACACGGCTGCTGTCCGAGCACCTCTCCTGCAGGGAGGCCCACAGACGCACGCTGCATCCTCAGCCTGCCGCTCCTCTGTTCCCATGAGTAGCGGATTGTGAAAGCCATTTTCCCAGCACCAGCAGATGGCGTAGTGGTTATGTCACTGGACTCCCACATGGCTGACCATGGTTCGAGTCTCAGACCTGGTGACTTCAAACTCACACCAGCACATGCGCATGCATGCTAAGATCCCGAGAGACTAGGGAAGGGATTGCAGCGTGGCCTCCCCCAAGGGAGGATTTCTCACTTTCTGTCTCTGCCTCCTTGTGAGCACACGTTTTCTATAGCAAAAATCTCTCTAAGAAAAGAAAGCAAGCTGGCTTCTCCCAGAGAAGACCCATGTGTGGCTGGGTCAGAATGGCCACGCCCTCATTCCTATGGAGCCTCGTCTCACTCCCTGGGACAGAGCCCGTCCTCCCCACCCACCTCTGTCTCTGCCTCCTCTGGGTCCCCGGGTGGGGAGGGCAGCCCGGGCGAGGGGCGGGGTCTGAGGTCCGTGTGCCCCCAGGTCTATGACGACGGCAAGTACGTGTACCTGGTCACGGAGCTGATGCGTGGCGGGGAGCTGCTGGACCGCATCCTCCGGCAGCGGTGCTTCTCGGAGCGCGAGGCCAGCGACGTGCTGTGCACCATCACCAAGACCATGGACTACCTGCACTCCCAGGGGGTAGGTGCCGGCTGGCCCGGCCCGCAGGGCGCTGGGTGGCTGGGAGTTTACGGTTCAGGGGTGCGTGTCTGCCCGGGGGCGCCTCCCCACACGAGGCTCCTGAATCACACCGTGACTTACGATGACGAAGACAGGCTCGCAGGAGGAAGCAGACGTGAGTCACACGCAGTACACGCAGGAGCACCAGGCAAGGCGCCTGGCGGGGACTCTTACAAAAGAACAGTGACTTAGCCAGCGGGGCAGGCTGGGAAAAGGACTTCGACTGGGGGCAGTGACCGTGGAAGGTGGCGTGTGGGGACTCACCGAAGATCAGGGCTGGGTGGCGAGGGGTGTCCGGTAGCTCTGCGGGACCAGGGCCGGGTGGCGAGCTATGTCTGGTAGCTCCATGGGACTGGGGCCGGGTAGTGAGGTGTGTCCGGTAGCTCCGCGGGACCGGGCCGGGTGGCGAGGGGTGTCCGGTAGCTCCCGTGGGACCGGGGCTGGGTGGCAAGGCATGTCCGGTAGCTCCGCGGGACCGGGGCCGGGTGGTGAGACGTGTCCGGTAGCTCCCCCGGGGGCAGCCCAGGATAAGGGTGGCCAAGAGCTATCTGTGGGGGCTAGCCTCGTCCTTCCTGGTAGAGGGGATGGGGACACCCTCAGCAGCGTGTGTCCTGCTCTTAAGCAGACGGCACAAGGGCAGAACTTCTCACACCCAGACCCACTTCTCACCGCTCTCAGCCCGAGAACCGCTTGGCCAGAGCAGCATGTATTAGGGCGGCCTCGGAAGTCGAGGCTAAATTCACATTCCCCAGACCAATACGAGCGAAAGGGTGCTTTGGCCGTGACAGAGGGACACTCAGGGCCTCACTCCCTGCAGTGTAGGGCTCAGATTGTAACCGATGTGAAGGAGAGGCTGGACGGGAACGGCCATGACAGCCGAGACGCCAGACCCTCCCGCGTTCCAGGCCTGGTCTGAGCCCTGCACTTACAGACTGTAGCTCCAGGCCACCCCGGCCACCTAAAATGAGGGCAGAGGCGTGAAAACCAGGAGCGAACTAGAAGCGACCTATTCGACCCAGGTTGTGCACGACACCCAGAGGACATGGGCTCCTGATTGCCGAGAAATGCGCTCGCCAAGACGGCGGCCCCAGGGCAGTCGCTACCGCAAACAGGAGGGCGAGGACGTACGAGTTACTCAAGTTTGCACCGGCCGTGGGAGAGAGCCGCCGGCTCCCCCTCCTCTCGCCATTTCCCGAACTCCCCTCGACGTGTCCTTTAGTGTAAGAGCGCCAGCGAGCTCGGCCCCGCCCCGACAGGAGCGTGTTTGTTGCACGCCAGTGCTCACTGCCCGCTGCCGGGGGCTCAGCTACACCGGGGCTTGGGTTTAAGCGGCCGATGTGAGAGAGAGGTCGAGCAAGCGCGCACTCAGGGCCCGAGAACGGCAGCGTCTACATCCTGTTAGTGGCCCACTTACCCGCAGGACCTGCTCAGGGCGGCCGCTGCCCAGGATGGCTGACCCTGGCCACTGCGTGGGCTTGGCCGTGGGTGTGGCCGGCTCAGTGCTCCTCCCCCGCAGGTGGTCCACCGGGACCTGAAGCCCAGCAACATCCTGTACGTGGACGAGTCTGGCGACCCCGCGTCCATCCGGATCTGCGACTTCGGTTTTGCCAAGCAGCTGCGTGCCGAGAATGGGCTGCTGATGACGCCCTGCTACACCGCCAACTTCGTGGCCCCCGAGGTGAGAGCGCCCACCAGGGGCACCCTCCCTGCCTGCAGGCACCTGCTCCCCGCCCAGAGCCCCTGCATGGCTCCACAGGGCGGCCCCATCATCTGAGGAGCGTGCCCGTGAGCCCACTGGGTGCCTGCCACCATGCTGGCAGCAAACCCACTGTACAAAGGGCCTCCTGAAGGTCATGGAAAAACAAAGGACAGATTTAATTTGATACAAAATAACTCTGAAATCCAGCCCGGCATGGCAGCTCGGGGTAGCACCGTGGCCTGCACAGCTGGCCACCGTGTGAAGGAGCAGAGTTCAGCTCCTGCAGCAGGGTAGCCTGAGCCGCACACGCAGCTCCCCAGGGCCCTGCCCGGCTGCGGGGTAGGAGAGGAGTCGCACACAGGGCTGCCCTCCCAGGACTCCTCCTCAGAGGAGCAAAACAGATGGAAAGAGCGGAAGAGACCCCTGCGTAGTTTTTACAGAATGCACGTTTCCCAGGGACCCACTCGGCCTCCCTCTCACACTGACCACTTAAACCCAAGCCCCCGGGCGTAGCTGAACCCCCAGCAGCGGCCAGCGCTGGTGTGTAACGAACACGCTCCTGTCGGGGCGGTGCCAAGCTCGCTGGGGCTCTTACACAAAAGGACACGTCATGAGAGCGGAAGGTCCCTGTGTTCCAGTTTTCACCGCAGGCAGGATGGCCGGATGGTGTCACTGCTCAGGGGCACAGTCTGAAGCTTAGGAGCTGATTGCGTCTGGAGTCGGCCACCAGCCCTACTCAGACACAGCTGTCCTCATCATTTTGTTTCCATATTTGAAACAGATTGGACACTTTGAAGTCGTGACACTTTGTGTAAGTTTGTCAACCGGCTGTAGAGGACTTGATCAGCCTGAGTATCTGTCAGGAGTCAGAGTGAGAGATGCCGGCGGTCTCTGCGTGGCTGGTGTGGGCTGCTGGGCACCTGTGAGCAGAAGCCGGTCTCTCACCATGGGGAGACTGACTTAGGACTGACTGGGACAGGACTCGCTGTGTGAGCAGAAGCCGGTCTCTCACCACGGGGAGACCTCGCAGGCTCAGGAAACGCAGGCTCCTGTGTGCACGGCGCTCGGAACACTCAGCCCCCGCGTTAGGAAGCAGGGCCGGAGCACTCGGCCGTTCAGATTCCGAGCCCAGCACCTCGCGTGCCGGCACACGGGCAGGGTACAGAGGGGGAGAGGCCCTGCCCTCACGTACGGAAGCTGAGCACGGCCCTGCTCCACGGCCAGTGCTCGGCCCCCACTCCGCAGTGCCCCGAGCAGCTCCCCTGCGTTTGCTGCCCTGCTAGCAGCCTGTCAGGCCGCCCTCTGTCGGAGTGCAACCCCAGGATGTGCTAAGATTCTTTTGCCTTCACAATTCTTTAAAAACTTGAGCATAGGGACCAGCAGTTAGCGCAATGGCTATGTCACTGGACTCCCATGTGGCTGACCGTGGTTCAAGTCCCAGACTCGGTGGTTTAAACTCATGCTGGGCACGTGTGCGTGCGTGCCCAAGATCCCGAGAGGAGAACAGAGGAGAAGGGATTGCGGCGTGGCCATCCCCCCTGGGGGGTGATTTCTCGCTTTCTGTCTTTCTGTCTCTCTCTGTCTGTCTGGCAAGCACATGTGCCCTATAGTAAAAACCTTTCCAAAAAAAAAAAAAAAACTTAAGCATAGGGCCTGCAGGTGGCATAGGCATCAGGGTGCTGGACTCCCGTATGGCTGCAGTTCAAGTCCCAAACCAGTAGCTTAAAACTCATGCCAGGCACATGCGCATGCATGCGCAAAATCGCATGAGGAGAATGGAGGAGGGACTGCAGGCGGTGATCCCCGAGAGGGGATTTCTCACTTTCCCACTCGCCGTCTCTTTTTCTGTCTCTCTGGTAAGCGCACGTACCCTACAGCAAAAACCTTTAAAAGAAAACTCGCACGCAGAAGCACCACATGAGTCAGCGTCCCACGCTGGGTCCGGACCCAAGAGAAGCGAAGGCAGTGCCCCGGCAGGCACGTGCACACTCATGTTGGTGGCAGCACTGTCATAGCCCGTGTCCATGCCAGGTCACGGGGAAGCAAGACGTGGTCTGTGCACACAATGGAAGGTCACCCCGCCTTTGTTTTACCTCTGCTGTCAGAGGGCACGCGCTCTCACTGGAGGAAGGAGGGAACAGGGAAGAGAAAAAGGAAGTACCCCACAGTGGGGTGCGGTCCTGCCACTGCCCTTCCTCCACCATTTCTCCATCCCATCAGGATTGGGGCACCCACGCCCACGTGTGCCTAGCACGTTTTTTTCAAGCCACAGGGCCAGGATTTGAACCATCATTGGCTGTGTGGATGGGCTTACAGCTCTGCTGCAGGGCTGCCCCATGGAGCCTTTGAAAGGAAGGAAACTCTGACACACCTACAACATGGACAGACCTTGGGGACACCACACTGAGTCAAAGGCCTGTCGCAAAGACAGCTGCTGTGTGACTCCCCACATAAGACGTGCCTCAAGGAGGCAGGTCCGAGGGTCGGCAGTAGTAGTGTGGCAGTCGCTGTTTAACGGTGAATTTCAGTCTAGGGGCAGCCAGGGCAGAGCCGTTGATGCATGACCAGCTGCGCTGTTTGAGTCCCAGACCCAGGGGCTTGAAAAACGGCAGGTGCACGTGCGTGCCCAGCATCCCGAGGGAGACAGCGGAGGGACGGTGCCGTGGCCATCCCTCCGGAGGTGCTTTCTCACTGTCTCTCCATCTCTGTCTCTGGCAAATGCACACACCCTTTAGGATTTCAGTGAGGAAGCTGGCACGTCCTGGATGGCCCATGGCGATGGGGCCCAGCTGCGCAAACGCACTTAGGGCCCTGAGTCACTCAGCGATGCTAGGATGGAAACTTTTATGTTACGTGTATTTTATCGTAATAAAAAAATTCTTCTGCCTCACAAACGGCACCATCTTTTCCACATAGCTGCGGGGGGCGAGGCTCGCTGCATGCGGGCACCAGAGGGACCCGCTGCGGTGCGTGGGGTGGCTTGGCCCCCGCGAGAGCTGACCTCCTTGGGCCCCCGTCCAGCTGGCCACCGGCTGGGAGACAGGCCGTAACCGGAGCTTTCGCCTAGTGCTCACCTGCCGCCCACTGTCCCCCAGGTCCTGAAGCGCCAGGGCTATGACGCGGCGTGTGACGTCTGGAGCTTGGGGATCCTGCTGTACACCATGCTGGCAGGGTAAGGACGGCCTCTGGCGGGCTCTATGGCAGCGTGCGCCTAGGACGGCACGCGGTGGCCTGGGCCAGCCCTCGTGTCCGCGGACAGCAACATTTGCCTGATGGCCTCTGCACCGAGCCCCACCCCGGGCCTGCTGAGCACGCTGAGGGAAGTTAGCCGTGCATTCCTTTCAGCTGGGCCTTGGTCTCCCAGCCCACCTCCTCCATGCCAGACACCCCTTGCTCATTCGGCGGCCACCCCATGCCTTTAGCACGTCCGTGTAGCCTGGGCACACCAGAACAGCTGGGCCTTGGCCACTCCATGCCTGGTTCTGTGGCCATCGCATGTGGGCCTGCCAGCGTGTGCGATGAGACGTGTATCAGAGAGGCCCGAGTGCCCGCGGTGGGCGTGCCGGCGTGTGCGATGAGACATGTCAGAGAGAGAGGCCTGAGTGCCCGCGGTGGGCGTGCCGGCGTGTGCGATGAGACATGTCAGAGAGAGAGGCCCGAGCGCCCGCGGGGGGGGTGGGGGCGGGGGGG